ATTTATAACCAAGGGCTCCTAGACCCAAGGGTTCTTCCCCATACTGTGTACCACTTCTTCATACCCTTTTTTCTTCTCACAAAGAGCTAGAGAAGTAAACATACTGGTCAATTGCCCAACACAGAAAGGAGATACCTAGACGCCATGCAGCAAAGGTTTAAAGAGCCAAGGTGTCCATCGATAGATGAATGGATAAAGAAGATGTGGTATACGTATATATATGTATATACGTATATATATATACATATATACACACACACAATGGAATATTATGCAGCCATCAAAAAGGAATGGGATCTTGCCATTTGCAACAATGCGGTTGGAACTGGGGGGTGTTATGCTGAGCAAAATAAGTCAATCAGAGAAAGACATGTATCATATGACCTCACTGATATGAGGAATTCTTAATCTCAGGAAACAAACTGAGGGTTGCCGGAGTGGGGGGTGGGGTGGGAGGGATGGGGTGGCTGGGTGATAGACACTGGGGAGGGCATGTGTTCTGGTAAGCACTGTGAATTGTGCAAGACGGTTGAATCTCAGATCTGTACCTCTGAAACAAATAATGCAATATATGTTAAGAAAAAAAAAAAAAGAAGGTAGCGGGAGGGGAAGAATGAAGCGGGGGAAATCGGAGGGGTAGATGAACCATGAGAGACCATGGACTCTGAAAAACAAACTGAGGGTTCTAGACGGGAGGGGGGTGGGAGGATGGGTTAGCCTGGTGGTGGGTATTGAGGAGGGCACATTCTGCATGGAGCACTGGGTATTATGCACAAAGAATGAATCATGGAACACTTCATCTAAAACTAATGATGTAATGTATGGGGATTAACATAAGAATAAAAAAAAAATCCCAATTTGCAAAGGGTTTCTGTCTGTATCATTTGAGCCATAAAATGATTCCTTGGGATAACAGGCATTCCTCTTATGAAAAAAAAAAAAAAAAAGTGGCTTCACAAAGTAAATGGAGAAGAGAGAATTCAAATATGGGCTCACAGGTGGTTGGATCATTGCTTCATCCATTGTTTCCTTCAAAAAAAAAAAGTTGCGAAGATTAACTGACTCCCCTGAGTCAGGTCCAAATTGTTGTCCAAGCCCTTTAAGGGCCACCTACATTCTCTAGCAGCCCTCACAGGTAGCTGTCCCTCCCCACCAGTCAAGTATTTATGTTGCCTTGGCTTGTTAAGTCTTTTTACCATTTTTGATGAGAGGTGGGTAGAGGTCTAGGACGTTTTTCAGGCTGGACTGCCTAGACTGTATCCAGCTCTGCCACTTACTGGCCATGTGAGCCTAAGCAGGTTACTTATCCTTTCTGTGTTCTCATCCATAAAATCAGGATGATAAAAGATTCCACCTCATAGATTCTGTTTTATATATACTAACCCATTTAATTTTCACAGCAGCTTATGAGGTTGTTCTGTCCTCAAAAACAAACACTGTGAGAACAGGACTTTTTGTTTATTCAGGAACTAGGAAACTGGCATTAGGAAGCAATCAGTTATGGAATGAGTGAATAAATGAATGAAGAATAGAATAGAAAGAACAACAGATGCCAAGTCCCGTTTAGCTGTAACACAAGAAACTCAGAAGATATGAAGTTTGTAAGAGAAGTGTGGTGCTTCTAAGATATTAGAGAGACCCTGAAATTACCTTATAAAAGGTAAGACAGAGTTGTTAATAACACTGTGCTGAACTCAGTAGAAAGGAGGGATTTACCACTCCAGAAGCCAAGTGCTCACGACCTTCCAACCTGAGAGGACCACACTCTGTGCTCTGTTATTTTCTTGACTGGAATGTTCTCATGGTATCTTTTTTTGCTGCTCTTATTAAATACTTCTTATGTGATTTCTGACATTATTACCAATCAAGAAGTTGAAGTTTTGGCCACACTATCCAGCTTGAAATGTAGTCAAATTTAAGAGTTTTAATTTATTTCATTTATGTAAACATCAGTGTCTGAATACAGTCTGCACAGATGGTATAATTTAAGATTCTATTCATTTATGCCAATTTCAACAAATACATAATTTCATAAAATGTAAAGAAATTCCACATGCCAGCCCTTAGGGTTAGGAAACTACTAGTATTCCATAGCTATCCACTTGCTTCTTCAAAATTACTGCTGGATTGCCAAACACTCTCAAACCCCTCCTCAAGTTCCCACTCATTTTATTTACATTTACCTAGTAATATTAACCATCTGAAAAAGAACAGACTGGGATATTTTAGAACTTAAGTTATTTACCCTGATTTTCTCCCAACTGCTTTTTGACACTGAGGGGTTTCAAATCAACTTGTTCCACTGTTTCCCTGATTAATAATATACTTGGCAAATATTTGAATACTTTATGTGATGCACTATGAGAAAAAAAGTTTAGTAAAAAGGACTTTGCCCTTTAAATCTTATTCTGCCACTTATAATTTATGTAAACTTGAGTAAGCCACGACTAAGAAGCCCCAGTTTCTTCACCTGATAATGGAAACGAAACCTACACTTCACTGGATTCCTATGAAGGATAAAGAACATTGAAGTGTGAAGAGTTTAAAACGTTACAAAACACTCAAAAAGCAACAATATAAATACTACTACCTGTTATCATGGGGGATACAAAGTTGTCTTAAGACTTTATCTTTGCCATGGAAGAACTTAAACACTATGCCCAATGTGTCAACTGAACGGCTGATACAGGTCCTATCCTGTCAACCAGTGGCTTCCAAAATGAGACAAAGAGATGATCCACTGGAATATTGGGAAAAATAGAATTTTTATTTACATTTGTAATTATATAAATAAAACTGAAAACCCTCTTCCATTGTTATTTAATAACCAAAGCAACACTGACACTGACACTCAGTTTCAAGGTCTGACGTTCACCTGCCATGTAGCATGCTTACCAATGTGATGGTTAGGACATGGCATCTTCCCTTTTACACGTGCCTACCTAAACTGATTTATGTACTTACCTGCTTTAATTAAGCTAATTCTCACAATATGAACAAATGGCTTAAAATACTTGCAGAGAAACCAGAATTTGCAAATAAATTTAAGCAGACATAAGCAAAGGGCAAAGCTTACATTTGCCCTATTCCTAGTAGGAGTTGTCAGCCTCATAAAAATCTAAGTTTTTGAAATCAGATGTTTTAAAATGTTTCCATCACTGCAGTATTCAGCTTTTCATCTTATTTATCAATAAAGCAAATGTTTCAGTTAAAATTTGTCCAGCTACACTTGTGGTGAGCATAGCATAATGCATAGAGTTGTTGAATCACTATATTGTACACCTGATACTAACCTAACATTGTGTCGACTATACTTCAATTTAAATAATTGCCCATTAAATTGTCATCAACCCTAATACTAAACAGCAATTTTTTGAAACGTTACTAAACTTTGACACTTTCATACTTTTAACAAAATGGATCAAAACTACCGAAATCTCTTAAAGATTTTCAGTAGAAAACTGTGCTTCCAAATGTTGAAAATTTTCAGTATGAAAATCATAGGTAACAGATTCTTATCATGATAATTGATTATGATAATACATTCTTTTGTATTATTTTCAAAGGATATCATCATGAAATATATTTTGGCAGGATCCAAATGAATCAAATATTTAATCATTTAATATTATGCCATGTGTTTGACAGCAAACATCAGTATAGTACTGCATGTACATAATTTCTTAAATGTACCTCTACACACTGTGGAATACATAATAAAAAATTTGGAGAACCAGATCTTATCCATCAAGACCATTCACCATTTCCGAAAAGAATATCTGGCATGAAGTTGAATGATTTAATGGTAAATCATATACATAAAGATATTACATTCCAGCAATACTGATTAATAAAAAATGTTTACTGGAGTTTTGCCCTTTGTTTCTTGTATATATCCATGTAAATGTAGATTAACTGCTTTCATTTGCTGTCAGGTCTAGAGTGTGAGTAAAACAAAACAAAACAAGGCACATTTTACTAAATTGATACTTTGCCAAACTTACCCAAGAGTACCAGTTTTCCTCATAAAGAAACAGACTTCCCTCTGTCAGTTTCAAGGATTAGCTCTGGTTTTCTAACTAGATTTAACCATTTGTTTAAAAAGTTGAATTTCAAAGAATTTTGAAACTGCCAAGAAACCATTATAGTGGTTGCAACAAAACACCCTTAAGCATTTTACTGAAGGAACTGGCAGCTGGATTTGCACGTGGAAATGGAGTCATAAATTCGTTTCCAGTGCTTAAAAGACATTCAGTTTAAAAGAAAATATACATCCCAGAACTAGTTAAAACAGCAGTTTATCACTCAACAGAGTAGTCAAAATCCCTTGGCTCATTCCTCACTTCCTCTCTCATAAACAAACTGAGACTGGGAGAAATCTGAGAGTTCACCTAATCTAACCTTTGGCTCGTGCCTCTCACTGTTCTAAAGACAGGGGAAGGGCACCTGAGTGGCTCAGTCGTTAAGCGTCTGCCTTCGGCTCAGGTCATGATCCGGGAGTCCCGGGATCGAGTCCCACATCGGGCTCCCTGCTCGGCGGGAAGCCTGCTTCTCCCTCTCCCACTCCCCCTGCTTGTGTTCCTGCTCTCGCTGTCTCTCTGTCAAATAAATAAAATATTAAAAAAAAAAAAAAAAAAAAAAAAAAGACAGGGGAAGGCAGGACATAATCTACAGCACTCCAGACTCATTCCCATTGTTGCTTCTCCAGGCTTTGGGGAACCACTGCAGTCATAAAGCTCACTATTTACCCTGACAGCTAACTCAGTTTTGAGTAATTCTGAAAGTTAGAACTTTGAGCCCTATCTTGACCTCGACAGTCTCACACAAAAATTAAAATGTAAACAAACCGAATAAAATCTGTAAGTCTCAATTGTTTTCTACCATGTCATTCAACAAATATGGCCTGAGGGTCCACCACAGGCTTTAAGTACATAAAGGTAACAATACTCCCAGAAACACATCAATGAAACAAGAAGACAACACAAACGAGTATTATTCGATTTTCTTTCTTCTACAGACATTTATTAAAGGTCTATTTATCACATATCACACTATATACAGGGAACAAAATGGTTAATAATACAGAGTACATTCCTGCCCTCTGAATTTAAAGATTAGAGAAGACAAACAATTATGACAGAGAATGCTAAGCAGTATTATATTATGGCGCCTCCTAACACAAATATCTATAATTCTGTACCCACCAAGTCTTCTCCATAATCAAAACATTTACGTGCAAAGTTGCTCAGAGATATAGAAAAAAAAAAAGACTTTAGTAGAGGTGATTTTAAATTCAATATGAAATACATTCTTATACACATTAGCTGCTTTGTCAGTATTCGCATCCTGGAAATTAGGTTGAAAATACACCACTCTTTTAGAACTCTGGAGACGGGTAACCTTATTTTTTAGAACACAGAACCAAAAATATAAACATAGCATCGTTCCTGATTTGTGCTTCTAGAATCCTATAGAATTAATTCTTTGCAAGCTGATAATACTTGTGAAAAGCCTTTGAAGAGACAAGAGAAGTGTGGTCAATTTTCCAAACACTTATCAAGTCCTGGGTAATTGGGTTCTGAAGACACACAGGGAGATCGACAGATTTTCAATCTGGAAGAAGGTGAAAACGTGCTATCAAAATCACTCCATGTCTACAGCAGTTAGAACAGTACTACCTGAGCAGAGGTGACTGCAAAGCACAACGTGAATCAAATAACGGCATCTCTCCCACAAATGGAGAGCACTGGGGAGGGTCTCACAGAGGCCGCATCAAGGTCCTGAGTGACGAATGATCAGGTCCAGAGGTAGGATGGAAGAAAGTACCAAGGTAGAAGCAGTCACGTGTACAGTTACTTCACCTTTCTAAGACATGACCTGCCCAGAATAGCAGACCAGTGCCTCTCAGAGGTCATAAAAAATTATCTAAACCAATAAAATAATGATAAAAATCCGGTATCTAGAGATTCCTCCATCGAAGCAAAGATACAGGAGAAAAGCCCTCCCAGAAAACAGGGACTAGGTGTAGCCCCACATTTTCAGTTTACTGAACTGAGCAGGAAACAGTCCATTGTTTAGTAGGAAAGAGCTGAAAGATAGCAATCAGTGTGAACAATAGTGTAACTGCAAGAAGTCAACTTGGCAAGGGTACTTAATTTGTAATTAATTTGAAGCTTACAAAGCTCTCCTCCCAAGTTGGAGGACTAGAAAAGGAAAGAAGGTAAGTTTTCCTTTTGAAAAGGACCCTGGTTTAGGAAAGAAAGGGAATAGCCTAATTTGGTAAGGAAATGTAAGCTTTAAGCCAGTTCTCCTAAAATTTCAAAAGGAGTCAACGCAATGCAATTAATTCTATTAAACTAGCCTTCAAGATGCTTACAAACTGGGATTCACCAGAAAATCTATTGAAATGCTACTCCAAGTACCATTACTTCTTTGTGAAATGGCTTTTCTTTTACTTTTTTTAAATTTAATTTTATTTATTTATTTGATAGAGAGAGACACAGCGAGAGAGAGAACACAAGCAGGGGGAGCGGGAGAAGCAGGCTTCCTGCCGAGCAGGGAGCCCGATGTGGGACTCAATCCCAGGACCCTGGGATCATGACCTGAGCCGAAGGCAGACGCTTAACGACTGAGCCACCCAGGTGCCCTCTTTTACTCTTTAGCCCCAAGGAGGTCCTTAGGCTTGAGAGACTAGCCCTTGTCATTTTACAATTAGATACCATGTGAGTTTAAGCATTATAAGAGACTCATTTTCCCCATCTAGAAAATGAAGCTAGTAATATCTACTTCAAAAGATTCTTGTAAGGTAAAGCACATCAAGTTCTTAGTACAAAGCTGGCATCTAATCAAAAAATAGGCAAAAAAAAAAAAAAAAAGAAGTATTAATCACCCCATCTTTCTGGCCAGGGTAATGCAGGCCTATGATCTGCAAAGATAGCTTTCAGCAGTTTGACTTATCTCAGCAAACCTGTTCCCCCAACGAAGTCCTCCACAAAACCATCTTTCCACCAATAACATATCTGCATCTCGAGTTATCCTGAAGCATTTTCTCCTTACATTAGGTGCTGGGGTTCCTCAAGGTAATTAGAGAAAGAAGGCACACACGAAGATAATTTAACTGGGAATAAAATTTGCACTATGAACAAAATTAAACACAAAATTCAAATCCTAATCAGTTTGGAAAAAATAATTTCAATAGAGTAATATTCGAAGGGAAAAACTTGAGTTGCGCATCTTTCCTTTCATTCAAAGGCTGGTGAAGCCACCTAAGACTTCCAGACTTTTCTTTCCTTTTTCCTGTGTAGTCTCTGGTTGTTCACATTTCAAAATGGCGGTTGCTGCTTTCCAAGGAAATGTTCCGGAGGGCAGCTGCCTTGGAGGTAGGTCACCAGGACTGCTCAGCATTTTACAGGCACAGAAAGACTCCAGAAGGGAATGTAGCTGTCAGAGGCCTCTGCTACCTGTTAGAGGGAGGCAGGTCCATGGCTGAATGCTGCTCTGCCTCTTAGCCCCAAAGACTGTGCTTGGCTGTTGTTTTGAAAGAGCCCCTCAACAGATGCTCTATGTAACAACTAAAAGACAATAAAAACTAGAGTTACAAGCCAACAAGGATCATACTGTCTCTTATGATTGTTTAATCATATTAATTTAAATAAAAATAAATACATAAATAAAGACAGTACTAGTATTTGAAATGCTGGTATATTTTTAATGCTATTTAAGACATTCACAATAATGCTATTTTGCCATTCTCAAAAGCTGAATGCTTAAGCAACATGTGTCATGCACACAGCCAACATGCTCAAGAAGCACATGCAGATGCATTTGAAATTAACTACCACTGTATAAATCTAATATAATTTTGAAATGTACTTAGAAGAAACAGGCTAATCTAGCAACCCAGATACATTAACACATACGTATACCTTTCAAATTCTACAGGGAGGCTTAATGCTGCTTTGATCCATATTTCCAGGTACAAGGCTATTTATCTCATTTACAGAGCAAATACTAGCGGTGTGGGGGGTGGTGGTAATCTTCTAATAGAGGTATCCCCCTAATTAGAAGGAAGAATGAGAGTTTTAAGACAGAATTTTGTAAACTGCACAAAAAATGAGAAGACCTCATTTTTTGGGGAAAGTTTCCTATTTTATCTTCCTAAGCAACCGCTCTCTAATACATTAAAGAGTCTGAGAAGTTCTGAAATAGAGGAAATGATTCAACACAATCTATACTTATTCAACTACTAGGAATTCAGGGAAAAAAAAAAGCTTATTAATTTCACCTCCAATTTCCACTTTGATCCATTCATAGTGGCTGCTTGAAACCACCTCCAAAGTTTCACAAGATGAAATGAACAGAACCGATGAGCAATTCCTACTCAGCAGATGTGTGGGCCACTGTTGGGCCATGAACAGTATGGAAAACGCTGATACAGGATAAAGCCATGGAGCTTTCAACACTTGCTCCTGGTTCCCTTTTTTATATCCCCCTTCTGTACTTAGGAGTTCGTAAAGGAGGTAAGGAAAGGGGAAATAATATTGTGTTAAAATGCAAGGAATGGTTAAGTCCCTATCAACTTTATACTCTCTAACCACCCTTTGCCCAAAAAACGTTAAGATCTCTAAATTTATGGATCCAATGAGAGTAATGATTTAAACATCTTTTCTAAATGTGAGGAGAATGTAAAGAGTGAAAAAGTTCCTCTTTCCTTCATCAGTGGTCTATGTTCTGAGCAGCAGCCAGTTTGAAAAAAAATGGGGGAATCTCCCAGGGAAGAGTGGCAGGTATGCAAATTTCTCTGGAAGAGCCACCCTCTCCACCAGCAGACAGACCTAAAATGTCAGAGCCTCACGTGGTTCCTTCTTGAGTCCTTTTAGGGGAAAAAAAAAAAAAAAGCAACCCCAAGAGGCACAGCTACTTCAAGGAAGTGAAACAACCTTCGGCTGACCTTTTCTTAACTAAGTCTTGATCTTTTAGGATTCAGGTCTGCTTAGGTTAGAAGCATCAGACTTGGGAGAACCAATTCGATGTGTGCAAAGAGAATAAAGTGAAAGATCACTCGCATAAAATAGTGCCAGCAGGTAAGAAATAGCAAATAAGCAGGCTCAAGAAGAAATGTGTGTAAAAACCCTAATCTTTCCAGTCTCCATCTCTCTCTCCCAGATGAATCAACAAACATTGCTGGCTTTTAAGAAGTTAAAAATTTCAGTGGAGCTCACCCAGTTTGTTCCTCAGATGTCTCAAATCATGTACCCTCACAGTTCCCAGCTGCATGAACAACTGACTGATAAAATCAGTGACATCCTATGAAGAGTTCACAATGGGAAACTAAGTCATCATATTAAGATTAAGCATCACCATGAAAGAAAACAAAATTAGGCATGGACTGTTAAATTGAAACACAGAGTAAAAACCCCAAGTTGTTAAAATTTAAAAAACGACAAAATCTGGATCTCAGTATACTGAATCTATATTAAAACAAGCAAATTACCCGAAAAACAAGTATTCTGAAAGGTGAACCCAGAAAGCAGAGTGAAAAAAATGTGACAAGATTCCCAAATCTTTAACTGTAGAAACATGATTGACATTTCTGGCTGTTGGTGACAAGCTGGAAATTTATAAGTCACTAGCACACAAGATGGGCTCTAAATCCTCTGGTATGTTTTTCCCAAATTACGGCTCATTTTCAGTACCAACCTGCTTTACAAACACCCATGGAAATATTTTTTGCTTAGAGTTCTACTAAGACTGGTGGGCCCCAAACAAAAATCAACAAAATTTGCTTGATGGTCATAAGATAAAATTTTCAGCCATGAATCTAGTTTCTGTTCTACACATCTTCAGCCCTTGAGTGGCTTAATCTTCAAAATGAAATCAGTTCACTTTCTCGGAGAAAGTGAAATGAGAAGCAGAAAAAGGCTAAAAGTCTATTCAACTTGAGGGTGTTCTTTGGGACTTAAGTCTCTTTCATATGACTTTCTTCCTCTGTGCAATTAGATTAGATGGTGTGCAGAGGAGCTTTATACATACTCATCATAAAAAATGAACAAAATACATAAAAGCATAAAACAAATCATTTATCCACCCAACACCAAGTCAGCCATAATTAAACATCCCGTTTCATTACATTTGGTTTTCATTTAAGAGGCTGGCTGCTTTTAATCTGCAGGTACTTTCAAGCGGTGGAGATCTGTTGGGTTTGCCGATTATAACCAAATGGTAAAGCTATTAAATTTGATGACTCTTAGAAACCAGCCTGCAGATAATACTGTCATTTATTTTGGCCAGTACATAGTTTTAAAAGAAAATTGAATACGAATGCTTCTAAGAAAGTTTCCATTTTGTCATAGGTCTAATTACTCTTTACTATTTTATATGAGGCTCATTTCAAATGCTTAGGTATCTGCCTGGGTGGGCCCTTAAATGCATTTGAGTTTGTAACCCCCTCAAAGCATTCAGATAATTGAATGTATATGGAAGTTGAGTAGAAAAACTTACCTTCTCAGAATATATACCTAGTGCTTCCTGCCAAACTCAAACTATCCAAAAACTTTCAGTGTCAAGATTTATCTCCTTCCAAGCTTTTATCTAGCTTGAAGTCATATGCAAAAAAAGATGATCCCCATTCAGTCCCAATGTCTCAAGCAGATAAAACTAAGGGGAAAAAAAAAGAACTTACAAACCTTAAATCATGAAAATTGCCCTCAGGTGAGGCCTGAGAACTTAATAAAGCAAATTCCTAGCAATAGTAGTTGTATCACAATTGCTCCAAAGTTGGCATGCAGGGAGAATGCTGTGGAAGCTGTCTGCTCTGTTGAGCTGTAGGACAGTCTGGGGAAAAGGTGGACCAGCAGCCTAACAGAATACTCTGCAAAGATCACCTGCTGGGCAAACTCTAGCAGCAACAACAGACAATCGAAAGCAAATGTGCATTCTAATGAAAGCAAATCTGAAGAGGGCAAAAGGAAACAAGTGGTAGGGTTTGGTATGAGTCAATGGAGAGATATGGAAATCCACTTGATTTGTAGACTAACAGTACACAAAATAAAGATGATAGATGTATATGGCAAAAATGTCAGATGTTTCTTTAACAGTGGTAGGCTGATGTTGTAGTTTACATGAGACATTTTAAATAACAAATACTGCTTACGCTTTGGTAATTCTTCACTTATAAAAATAATTTTGATTTTTTTTTTTTTTTAAAGATTATTTATTTATTTATTTATTTGTCCGAGAGACAGAACACAAGCAGGGGGAGAGGCAGGCAGAGGGAGAAGCAGGCTCCCCGCTGAGCAAGGAGCCCGATGTGGGACTCGATCCCAGGACCCTGGGATCATGACCTGAGCCGAAGGCAGCTGCTTAACCGACTGAGCCACCCAGGCGTCCCAATAATTTTGATTTTCAAAGCTATTTTCTAAGTCTGTAGAAAAAGCCACACGTAATTTGCTCATTTCAGTAGGTCTGCATTTTTCTTGAGTTAGAACCCAACTTGGTTTACCCAGCACCACTGCAGGAAATGCCCTGATGCTTCTGGTTAAAGCCAGCAAGCTGCTTGTGTTAGCCAGGGTCATCCAACATGCTTGCCTTTCCTAGTATCTAAAGTCAATTCCAGGGGCACCTGAGTGGCTCAGTCAGTTAAGCACCTGCCTTCGGTCATGATCCCTTCAGTCATGATCCCAGGGTCCTGGATCAAGTCCGACATCAGGCTCCTTGCTCAGCGGGAGCCTGCTTCTCCCTCTTCCTCTGCCCCTCTCTCTCCACGCGTGTGTGCTCTTTCTCTCACAAAATAAAATATTTTTTAAAAAATAAAGTCCATTCCACTCTATCATTTTTCTTAGATTTTTTAAAATTCAGTTCCCCATTACCCTGTCAGCTGGATTTGCTAAAAGAACATAGATTTTTATCACTCTGCAAAACATGCTGACCTAGAACTACTTGATTAGGTTAAGAGAAGTTTTAAAGCCAAGTATCTTATATATATTTTACTCTGTTTATTGAAATTATGATCCCATCACAAGGCCTAACTATCATCCAGTCAGAGTGATTGATTTCTCAGCACAAAAACAGCCCTGACAATGGTTCTGGTTAAATAGGCACTTGAAGAAATATACTGAAATCAGTTAACAGAAGAACACTCTTCCTATTTTTATTCCTAATCAGAAAATGCCATCCAGGAGCCTGTGATTAGGTAGGATTCTAGCCTACAACAGTGTATAATAGCGATTCTCCCGTGTGGCTGAGTATACTGATAACCTTATTTGACTTTATAAAGTGGCTCTCTACTGACCTATGACTTACGTTCTGAGGCTACGGAAAAATACCAAATCTGCTTACACTGTGATTTAATGAGAAATACAAAGAGGTATTCGGATTCCTCCTCCAGCCACCAGCTGTTGCCTCTGTCTCTACCAGCTTTGGACTCTTCTTTAAGCTGAGAGCAGACAAACTGATGGAAAGGTATTAATATAAGGAAACCGCCCAGACCTATTTCTGGTTATGGCTCAGGGAATTAAACGGTGACTTTAGAAGTTTGCCCAACATAGAAGGGAAGAATGAAAAATTTTCTAAGCCATATGGGTAAAACTATTTTATTTACTCATCTATACTTACATACAACTCCCATCTAACACTTAAATAATTTTTTATTCAACCTATTTCTCAACAGAATTCTACTTCAATGATTCATTTTCATTTTTTTAAACAAATTCTCGACCAAGTGCCTAGTATGTGTCAAACAAAAAAGGACAAGGGGGAAGGAGGGTAGAGTCTATAGTGAACAACTGTCTTGAATATCTCCTTGTCCATCAATTACATAGGCAAGTTGTTCTCAACCTGAAGGCAAAGAACTTTCGAAGGGTTATAGCAGAGTACCTACAAGGTCTACAGAGTCCTGGGCTCATCAATATGAAGACCAAGAATTATATTCGGAATGAATTATACTTACCATCAATGTATTACAACTTTAAAAATTCATATAGATACTGTCTTTTTTTTAAAATACATTTTATCTAGGAGTGATATTAAAACATTTCTTTTTTTTTTTTTTTAAAGATTTTATTTATTTATTCATGAGAGACAGAGAGAGAGAAAGAGAGAGGCAGAGGGAGAAGCAGGCTCCCAAGAAGCAGGAAGCCCGATGCGGGACTCGATCCCAGGACCCTGAGATCATGACCTGAGCCAAAGGCAGACGCTTAACCATCTGAGCCACTCAGGTGCCCAATATTAAAACATTTCTTAAATGGTCAAGCATGAGCTCCAACTACTAAAATGAGCAGCCTGCCCTCAACAGCCAGAATGGATTGATCAGCTCCCACCAGCTGATTATCAGAGCAGCCAATCCAGGCAAGAGGGGAGAATTTTTCCTTTTGTTTTCTCTTTCCCTTTTTCATGTTAAAAAGGGATTCTCATGGGGGAGGGAAAAAAAAAAAAAGGAGTTACTATTCTAAGAAATATAGTTGGCTTAGATGTAACACCATATTGTAGTTATTAAATTACAAGAGAAATCACAATAAATTTAGAGGTTATGCTTTTGTTGGTGCTTTGTTTTTCATCATTTTTAAGAGATTCATCCCCACTTTCCCATGCATCCTACAATTGGCTAACTCTTAGCAGATGTTCCAAAGGTTGTAAAGCCTACTTCATGAAAAAGTCTGTGTTTGTTTGTACTCTATTTATAGCAAGAAACAGCTAGTCTCAGGTTTGTGTCCTCAATTTACTTAAACCAGTTAACACTCTGCTAGCAGGAGAAGTTCCAACTTCAGATGGATATCTGGGATGGACTGCAATGTGTGCTAAACTATTTTATCCTAGAATGTATCTGCAATTGGAAGCAATGCATTAGAATAGAAGAATGGACAAGACTTCTTCCCCAGTGAAAGACGAAAACAAGCTGGACTGGCAGCGCTACCTTTTACTTTAGCCCAAGGAGTAACTCAAGTTCTCCATCTCTTTGTCTCAGCTTAGTAAAAGGAGTTCTTCACATTAACATATCGAGCACATTCTAACAGACAATCCCCGACTTTACAACGGTCCAACTTACCATCTTGGACTTTACGAGGGTGTGAAAGCTATACACATTCAGTAGAAACCAGACTCTGAATATTGATCTTTTCCTGGGCTAGCACTATGCAGTAGGACACTCTCTTGTGATGCGGGGCAGCAGCAGGGAATCAGTCAGCCCCGTGATCCCAAGCCCCAGGGCAGGGCTCGAACTCAGGACCCTGCGATCAAGACCGCAGCTGAGATCAAGAGTGGGACACTTAACTGACTGAGGCACCCAGGTGCCCAGTGCTGTCACTTCTGGTTATCTTCTTAATCTAAAAATCAAAATTCTGAGGGTCTGATTAGAAGAAGCTTCAGATATCAAATCCCTGAAAATACAAATGCATTTCCAACAAAACTAACCTTAAAAAAGGCAAACCACTTGTAGTCGTTCAACACAATCTCAAAGCCTTGATTGTAAATGATGGTGAAATGGCCGGTATTGCCAAGATCATCACGTGCTGTGTCCAGCTTCTCAAGATGCACCACTACTTTTTTTTCTGGTGGTCCTAAAAAAAACACACAACAAAGGAAAATTATTTGGACTTCAACTGGGAGGGGAAATCTCCTCTACAATTTCCATTATTTTTAAGCAGCTTTCCTTTCATGCTACCGATTTGGACAAGTCTGGCCCATGAAGATATCAGTCCCCATCCTGTTGCTTCCCTCTGCACACTCCCACAGAGTCTCAGGCAAGCCTGTGATGTAAAGGCTCAACAGGTAGAGATATGTCAAGTAGCCCATCAGGCAGAGACCCCGAAAAGTACAGCCCTTACCTTCCCAGAACATCCAAACACTGAAGAAATTTGTCCACTAAGGAAAAGGAGGAATAAGGGATGTTTAAAATGATACACAAATGGGTAGAATACAAGACGCTAATCAAAAAAAAAAAAAAAAGGGAAATATAAAATATAAAAGGATCTGCTATCAGATTATAAGGACAAAAGAAATTATCTCTTCAGAGAAGAAAAGGGGTATCTTTTTCCTCAATGGCTCTACAGTTCAGAACCTCAGAATCTGAATCATTCCACAGTATTCAGCAAACTCAAGATTTCTATCATATAAAGCTAGCTCGTGCTGATAGGAACTAAGCTTTCAACTTCCAGAAGATGGGGTGCAGATCTGTGGGTGTCTTTACTAGATTAAAGTCAAAGATATGACTTATAGGCAGAGGCTGCCTGAAAGGGTTCTGCTGTGTCCATCTGGAGGTTTCACACTTTGAGTTTTTTTCAGATTAATGCTCTGAAATAGGAGATTGCATGTGACAAACAGCGCCAATCCTGATCTCCCTCTCCTTCGGACCTCCACATTACACTTTTAAAACAGAAGGTGTTTATAATGCCCAGGATTAGGAAATGCCACACAGTCATCTGGAGTTAGACAGTTGAATAGGTCTGTTTTAGTAACAAATGACCTGGCAATCTTCCTCCTGCTGACAAGTAAATTGCAGCAGAGAGATTCACTCACTCTGCACATGCCACAGTGTGGTAAGGGTTTGGGCAGAACAAGAGTGCCTCTTTTGACTGGGGATTGCTTTTTTTCTTCTCCTTTCACTAAATTCTTTGTCCTCAGTGTAGCTATGTTATCTGAGGGCATATGGGATATCCCAGCGGTGTTCTAACACTAAATATTCATTGACAGCCTTCCATGAGCTAGACATTGTGCTTGTCTCTGGGCATTCCCAAATATAATTACCGGCTAGGCTAAAGAGTTATTTAAGAAACAAAACAAAACAGAAGAAACGGCGGGGGGGGTGGGGGGACAACTTTTATATATCTCCCGGCAACACATGAAACACTGTGGAGCCATACCAAAAGTTTTCTGGGACTAGTAGCATCAACACACATGTAAATCAAAAACGCTGGGCATAAGGGCTCTTTCCCACAAGCTAACAAAAGGAAGGGAAAAAAAAAACTTTTCTTGCTATACTCTCCAGTGTTTGAGCTCATTTTCCATGGGCAAAATTTAAAAAAAAAAAATGAAGATTAGACAGGGAGATCAGAAGACTGCACGGTTTCAATTCCTTTCCAAACTAAATTGACCAAAAAACAAAACTAAGGGGGTTTAAAAAGTTCCTGAAGAAAGTGTTTAGGTCCGATAATAACCAAGGAAACGTGAAATTAGAAGCTCTCAGCTGCTGAACTTTGCCTTCTTGGACCTACAGCGGCAAAGGGCACCCCAAGGGGCTTTAGGTGTACCCAGCTTCCCACTGGCACCGGCCCCGGGTGGGGACGCTCCACGTGGGCGCTGCGGAAAGAAGAGGTCGGGGACGGAAAGTACGAGTCCCGGGCTAAAGCGGGTAGGGGGAGAGTCCCGGGGCGCCGGCGGCTTACCCATGACCGAGCAGTTGACGTTGCGTTGGGAACCAACAGCGCCCACCTGGAAGACCCATGTGCCCAGCAGGTCAGGGTAAGTGCAGTTGGCCGGTGTGTCGCAGTGCGCGGTGCCGACGCCGGACAAGAGCAGGAGGAAGGCGGCCAGCAGCAAGCGGGGCCAGGGACCCATGCTGGGGGGGGCTCCGGAGGGGAAAAGGCGAGATCCGTAGCCAGACAGCAGAGGGCCGAAAGCTAGACGATTCGAACACCGCGTGCCTGAAAATAGCCGGAGCTGCCGGAAACCCAAGGCTGGCGGGGGCGGGGCGGGGCGGGGGCGCCGCGGGCGGGGGGAGGGGCGCTCGGGAGCAGTCTCGCCCCGCAGGTAAGGCCTCCCGAGTGCGTGCTGCTCCGTACATGGGGGCGGCTGGACCTTGAGCCCGGAGAGAAGCGGGGCGCAGGTTCTATGACCATGGGGCGTCTCAAAATAGGATTTAAGAGCCACAGTGACTTTGCTCCTTGAAAAGTAACGGGCGGGGGTTGGGGGGCGGGGGACGTGGAGAGAGAGGGAATGTGTGTGGGCGGGGAGGCGACCAAAGATAAGAAAGAGGCGGAAACAGAGTCTCCGGAGGGAGACTGAAGTAGGGAGGCGAGGGGTGGAGGGGGAATAGACAGAAGGTGAGTCCGAGTGGGAGAGGTCTAACAAGTGAGGTTTTCTTTTACTTGCTTTTTTCCGCACTTCGTCCTCACCAACTCAGTTTCCCGCAACCCCTCGGAAAAATTTTACTTGCTACCCCCAGTCACCCTAGCTGTTTGAGAACTGCTCTTCCTTCCATTTTCGAAAACTTTTTTTTCCCCACAACCCTTTTTTGCTTGGTTTTGTCTAGTTTCCTGTTAATGTTGTTTGTAATCCACAAGAGAATTCATTTGTAGTGCAAACTTGCAGTTTTTGTGTATTCGTTGTTTTTTTCCTCTCCTGCAAACTTGATAGGATTTAGTTAACACATACACGCACACACATGCACAAAAGCTGTAAGAGATTATGTAGCTCCAGCCCTTCTCCTCTTACGGATGAAAAGCAGGAGGCTCAGAGAGAGGAAGTAACTTGCCCAGAATGAGGAAGGAAGCTGGTGGGAGAAAGCTGGTCTTATGAGCAGGTTCCAGTGTGCCAGTCTGACTGCCAATAATTATTAGGTAGCACTGTTTTCAAGTGCCTCTTTGCTTAGTTTAAATATCACCCTTTTCTGTGAGAGCTCCTCTGACTTTCCTGGCTGTTCGTGGAAGTTGGGGCTCCTTTTGCTCACAGAGCCCATTGTGTGTGTCAGGCCTTGTGTCAGCATCGAGGGCAAGTGATGAACAAAATAGACTTTTCTGTGTCCCTGCCCTGTAGGGCACATGTATTTTGCCCTTATCACACTGGTTACAAGTAAATATGCACGTTATTCACATGATTCACCTTTGTCTCCCTAGATTCCGACTCAGAAACACTCAAACTATCTTGGGGTGTTAAAATAAATACATAAGTGAAGGGGTTCAGAGCAGGTCTCCTCAAAATGTGCCACTTACGCATGTGGACTATTTTGGGCTGAAGGCAATCAAGACCAGAGGGTCAAGAGAAACTGTTTTGCCCGGCAACTACCTAGAAGAATCTAAATGGGGATCTTTGTCAGAATGAGAGTTATTACCAGAGATACGTTTTTTCTGACTGACCCATCTGTATGGCAGGGCAAACATCTAATTACCAAAGAGCTGCTCTTCTTACTACCCTGTGAATACTACCCCTCCCCTTTGAGGCACCAGGCCCCTATCCCTTCATTAGCTCAAGTTGGCGTATATACCTCATTTTACCTTTCTGGCTTTGAACTGCTCACGTATGTGGGGTTCCCGTACAGATAAAATCACATTTTATTTCCTCCTGTTAATCTGGTCCATGTCAATTTAATTCTTAGCCCAGCCAGGAGAACTTTTGAAGGGTAGAAAAAAATTTTCTTCTTCCTGATACAACCTTACTTTGGTTTCTAAGCCTGAAAGCCAATTTCAATTTGGCAAGAGGAGTTACTCTTGAAAGCTCAGAAGTGGATATACTGTGTAAGGTAGGCACAAACTGCAAAGGCAGCGGTGGGGCCTTTTAGATTTTATAGCCCGATACTTAAGATTAAAAGTTGACATCATGTAATTAAGCTAACACACTTAGAGATAAACTAGCAGAGTAGCGCTGCCTTTCTAAGTCCCTGGGAAAGCAAGTTATTGTTAAAACATTAAAACTTTTATTAGGTTGTCAATATTGAAGAGTTGAACAGTTCCGTTGGAAATTTCTTTGATAGGTATAATCAAAGTAGCATACCTAATTGTGAAAAAAGTTTAAACAGTCTTTTTTCTTTTTTTAATTTTATTTATTTATTTGAGAGAGAGAGCACACAAGCAGGGGGAGGGGCAGAGGGAAAGGGAGAAGCAGACTCCCCACTGAGTATGGGGCTTGATTACAGGACCCGAGGATCATGACCTGAGCTGAAGGCAGGCACTTAACCACTGAGCCACCCAGGTGCCCTGAAATAGTCTTTTTTCAATGAATGATAACTGAAAAGGAATCTTGGAGACCTTTTAGTCTAATGGGTTCATTTTAATATTGGAAAATGGAGATCCAGAGATCATAATAACTTGTTCAATGTCACATTGCCAGTTACTGAGATTCAAAAATAAGCCTCAGGTACCTTGAGTTTAAGTTTAGTTTATTTCCAATTATCTGCTAATTCCCAAACTATTCCCCCTCAAAATAAAATATTGCCCTGTCTCAGTGATTCTCAAACTGATCAGGCCCTAAATTTTATTTTTATAACAAGTATTTTATAGAGATCTTTATTATTCTGAAATGAAATATACACATAAGCCAGTTACACACTTAATAAAAAAAGAAAAATAGGGAGCCTGGGTGGCTCAGTTGGTTAAGCGACTGCCTTCAGCTCAGGTCATGATCCTGGAGTCCCGGGATCGAGTCCCACATCGGGCTCCCTGCTCAGCAGGGAGTCTGCTTCTCCCTCTGACTCTCCCCCTCTCATGCTCTCTATCACTATCTCTCTCAATAAATAAATTTTAAAAAAAAAAAAAAAAAAAAAAAAAAAAAAAAGAAAAATATACCAAATTTAATATAAAGAACAAATAAAAAAGATGTTTTAATTAAATTTCTAATGCAAAGACATATTTCATCATCTAAAATGCCCATGGATCAATATACTGGAAAACAGAATAAGACATTCAAATACTTTTTATACCTCTATGTAAAATTGTAGAATCAGGATAAAAGTGAAAGGTGCCTATTCTCTGAAAACAGAAATCATTTCAGTGAGTTAGAACACAAATATCAGGGCACTTGGGTGGCTCAGTCAGTTAAGCCTCAGACTCTTGATTTTGGCTCAGGTCATGATCTCAGGGTTGTGAGATCGAGCCCCACATCAGGCTCTGCACTGGGTGTGGAGCCTGCTTAAGATTCTATCTCTCTCTCCCTCTGCACCCTTCCTCAAACAAACAAACAAACAAACAAACAAAACCATAAATATCTCATCAGATGGTCATTCAACTATCATACCTTGGTGTTGATGCTGGATAACTCTTTGTCAAGTCCCCGCAGAACAAACTATAATCCTCTGTTGATTTACCTGGAAGTGTCATTCCTAAAAATTTGGCATGTATTGAAATGATATGAAACAAAGCTGATTTTTTTAAAGATTATTTATTTGAGAGAAAGAGAGAGAGAGAGAGAGCATGAGTGGGGAAGGGGCAGAGGGAGAAGGAGAAGCAGATTCCCTGCTGAGCAGGGAGCCTGTCATGGGCCTCAATCCCAGGGCCCTGGGATCACGACCTGAGCCAAAGGCAGATGCTTAACTGACTGAGCCACCCAGGTTCCCCTGTAACACAGTTGATTTTATATGTAAACTGGAATTTGGTGCTCAGATCATTATAACAAGTAAGTTTGTAGAGAGGCAACATGGCTTAGAGGTAGCTCCCAAAGTGTGGTCCCAGAACCAGTTGGACCAGCATCAGCCACTTCTTCTTGGAATTTGTAAAAAAAGCAAATCCTGACCCCTACTGAATCAGAAAATGTCCGCGTAGGTCCCAGCAATGTGTGCTTTAACAGTCTCCTTTCCAGAGTTTCTGATACAGCTACTGTTTGAGAATCACTGGTTTAAACATTGGCAAGGACTCAAGTCACACTGCTTGAGAGGGGAGCATGGCATCTGCCTCTCATCAGCTGCTTGATCTTGAAGAAGTTATTTTTACTTCTTTTTGTGCCTTGGTTTTCTCGTCTATAAAATGTGCATAATTGTGTTCCCTCTCTGCCTCATCTGGTTTTGAGAAGACAAAATGAATTAATACAGATCTCTATGGAGATCTGACTGCATTTATTATTGTATTTATTTCTATTAGAAAACCATAGGCTCCAAATCTTGTTCTCTATTATAGTCCTAGCACCCTGAATAATTTCTGGCACACAATAAATTCTCAAATATTTGTTGAATGAATGAATAATATGATGGACATGAATGTATCTGTATCTCACGGTGAAGAGCAAAGAGCATCATGATTTCCAAGTTCCCTGCCTTGAGCATAAGTTTGAAAGCCACTGTTCTGGAATGCATATTAAAGCAATGAAAGATCTTAGAAATAGAGGGAAAAAAAAGAACCTGACATATCATTGTAGCATGTTATTTGGTTGCGTGTACACCTCTGTCACTGGGAATCATAATAATCGTAGTAATTTTATTTATTTAGGACTGTACATTGTACCAAGATAATTCACATATATTAGGTCATTTAATTATCACACAATTGTATGAGGAGGATATTATCTATTTTATTGGAAATAAAACTGAGACTCAGAGAATTTATTAGGGACTAATACCCATAAAAGAGAAAGTGGAGAGGGAAGAGGAATAGGAGTGGGGAGCCTCAGATTTCACTTCTGTTAAAGGAGGAAGGAAGGAAGGAGGGTTGAGGAGAAGGAGTCTCAGGAATACAATTCTGAGATCGTTTCAGCCGGCACAGCAGAGACGAGCTTGACTCGGGCAGAAATGGCCAGGCCCTCCTCCCGGGGCTGCCTTTGGTCATTGGCTCTGACTGGAAAGCTGAGGTGGTTCCTGAAGTCATTACAGGTGGAGGTTGTCAGCCAGCTGCACTCCTATGCAGGGTCTCTCCTGAAGAGAAACGGGAGCGGTGCAGCACCCTGGCACCTACAGTGGGGACCTTCTGTCTGGAAGTAGGGCTTGATCCACAAGCATGAAAAGGACACTGGACCATTTGTTGAGGTCTTGTG